TCCAGGACCTGACGATCCGACAGAAACAACCCGTAAGTAATCTCCTTGGAAAGCCAAGAGAAGTCCTTATGCGCACTGAATAAATTCAGCGTGCCAGTCGTGTTGCGCGCGTACAGCTTCTGCAGCCACCCGGTGCCGCGCTCGTGGTTGGCCTCGTCGCATTGCCAGCCCTCGCGGGTGAAGGTGAAATCCTTATCCTCGTCGCGCTCGACCTCGCTAATGGCCAGAATTGCCTCAATGGGCTTGCATACTCCAACTATAGGCACGGATTTGACGAGCGCCTCGCGCAGCCGGCGAATCAGGGCTTGTCGGGCCGTTGAGGTCGCATAGTCTGATTGCTGGGTGAGGTGGAGGTAAAGCTGGTCTGCTCGCTCTGGGTCTGGGCTGGCGGCTAGTGTGGAAATGGCTAGGATGTACCATTTGTCGCTGCCCAGACTAGTGGTTTTGAAGCGGTTCTCCAGCTCGGTGAAAAGTTGGCGGTAGCGGGGCTGGACTTCCGCTGTTGTGGTGGAAAAGCTCATGGTTGTTCTTGACGGTTGGTATGGTAGAAGAATTGAAACAATTTCGGGCTTCACCTGCAGCTTGCTAGCTCGTATTGGTAATCGAGAGAACATGGCGTATATTGTACAATTACAGCGCTCAATACAACGTAAAGTTGTGATCTCTCCATCAATCAGTGCACTCCGACGGCTGAAGTGGGTCGCTGCATGTTCAAAGCATTTTGTATGATATTCTAATATGGAACTTCGACTTTTTCGATTTTTCCTTCCTAGAGAAGTAGATTCCTCTGCTTCAAAGGGGAATATCACAAGAGGATACTAAATACTATCTTATATTTGCGATTGCCCCTACATCAGAAAGATCCATGAATATATGTACTTAAGATATATCAGCCGATTGTGGAAAGATAGATCACACATCGACGAACACAATATCCAAAACTAAGTCATCAGGTACAAAGACACCTACACTAAATCATATTAATTAATAACAAAGATATTCCCCTAAAGGATATGTATGATGACAAGTTACAATGCTCTACTTGAACAAATACAAAGTGGGGCGGACACTACTGGTAACTGGAACTCTAGAGCCGAGCATCAACAATGTCATCAAGCGATACTCTGCCTTGATTACAACGCTTCTTCCAAATCATCAGAACTCTAAAGCCGGGCCCAGAGCATATACAACAGGAATGAACAAGGTCCTTTGCCATTGCCCTCAAACTGGGCTACGCCCCATTATGATTTCAGTGACTCCAGCATGACATCACAACCAGCATACCAAGTATAAGACCGAGCTCTTCCAATCGTATAAAGAAATCAATCAAGCTCCTCTTCCATTCACAAAGACTTATCTTACAACCATTCTCAACCTCTCAACGAACCCAAAATCCACTCTAAATCTACACAACATGTCCGTATCAGGCGCAGGTCAACCCGGCAGGGGAACCCGCCAGAACATGGCCGTGTCAGGCTCAAGTCAATCCAACGTCGGAAACCGCAGTATGTACGAGTCAGGCGATCAGCGCAACCTCCCCGTGTCCGAACTCAAAGAGCGCGCCCGTTACGCCGAGGGCTTGCCCACCAGCCACCATAACATTGATTCCAAGCACGGCCGCTCCATTGCCGACAAACTTGCCTCCCAGGAGAACAAGCCCGACTCCTCACACCCTCGCAAGAACGAGTACGATGCCGAGGCTGAGATGGTCAAGCAAAATCCGATGAAGCCTGTAAGTTGCATACAGCCTCGTCTCACGTGAAAGCCTCAAGGCACATTTGCTAATTGGTTTCGATACAGGCTGACCAGCACGGCAATGCTCCATCCAAGGGTGCTAGGATCGATGCCAGGCTCAAAGCTGATGATGAGCAGCGTCTACGGGAGAAGGGCATTAAGCAATAAATTTGTTAATGTTGTTTTTAGATGGAACAAAATACCTACTCATGTCTTCTGATTGGAATTGAATATTCATCAGCCAGGGATGGAGGGTGGGTGCTGGAACATGGTGTACGATAATAATGATATCTGGTCTAACGTTCTCTTGGATGAGCAACGAGGCCTTCGGATAAATACTACATTGAGGATAAAACAAAGGTTTCATGCCACTTCCACTTTCCAAGGATACACAAAGTGTCATATCACCCTTCCCCATGTAGAAGTGAGAACCGGTACAGTAACGGTCTACATGAACTGGTAAGATGCGGTCCAAATCCAGGTATGTCATCGTAAAATATAGGGATAAATAGAACATATGCCGTGAGATCGCTTTCTAAACGCAAATGTACGATATGTACAAGACCCAAGATTTCAAGGGCCGAAATATTATACAAGTATCGACGGGCCATAAAAGGAAAAGTAACACGCATCAGATACCTGCAGCTGTTCCAATAGGTCGACTGGCCTTTTTAGCCAGAAGAAAATGGCTTGGGTGGTTGAAGACCCCCACGGCCAAGCAAGGCAGTGCTTATCACCGCAGATACCGAGGCAATGGGAGGCATATATCCGGAGTGCAGTTGGATTTAAGCCAAACACCGGAATCCTGTTCGGGAGGCGAATTGGAGGGGAGGGAGGCTGGGCAAGCCGAGGAGCGCCCCAAGGCACAGAGTGTGCCGGTGAGACCTGAGATCAGCCATCCAGGGGAAACTTTGGGTCATCGTCATGTGGCTCAGCAAAGACATGGCTCCAGTACTCCTCGACTTTCTTGCACAGGTCCACTTTGTTCTCCCACGTTTTGAACGCCGTTTCGAGCTGGCAGCTCACCCATTTGATTTCCTCCCAGTAAGCCTTTTCGACATCGTATCCAAATCGCTTGATCGTCTGTGGTGGTGCCGTCCAGGCGCGTCCATCTGTGCCGTCCTCCTTCAACGTAGGTGTCGTTTCCCATCCCATGCCAAAGATCCTGTCACCGGGGTTGAACTTGGGATAATTTGCGTGGATGAAGAAAATGTGCGGTGCGGAGGCAACGGACTCGTCTTTTACACGCCACTTATTCTGCTGGGTTAAGGCAAAGTCCTCGCGTGGATCTGATTGTGCCATAGCTGATCCAGACAGCCCATCCGCATTCGCGTGTCCGATGGCTTGCACCCTCTCACTGACAGTGTAGAAAGGCGCACCTACGGCCGAGGCAGCTTGGATAAAGGTTTCCTTGTCTCCCTCGCCCGGTCCTCCCTGACTTAACAAGCGGAAATAATGCGAGGGGCCGTAGAAGTTATAATACGCCGCCAGCAAGAGAGCTAGGGAATGGGTTTTCTTAGAGACTAAAAATACCCCTGTTTCTGACGATTGTCTGACAGCCATGGATGGTGCCTGTTGGCGGGAAATTCTGTAGTACAACGGAGATGCAGAGGAAGCCCAGAAGTCGGGCCATGTGACGAGACCATTTGTTTTAAATGGTTCCGAGTCGAGCAGTTCTTCAGGTTTGCCGAGAGGGAAGCAGTCGGCATCCATCCAGACAATCTCTTCGAAGGATGAGAAAAGAACAGCGAAGATCTTGAGTTGATAGTGTTCAATGATATCTTTACCCACCACGTCTGCCAGCACCAAGCACCGCGCATCGAGTTTGGGAAGCACCTCGTTACAAAGATGTTTCTCGTGTTCGGTGGCATCCTTCATGTAGAGTTCAACCGGCAACTTCGACCCCGCGCGGCGGAGCATGCGCAGTGATGAGACAAAAACGGGAAGGTATGTAGAGCCAGCTGTAGATACCAGCCCTCGCTTGCCTGGGGTATGAATCGGCTTCAACTCCTTGCCCGAGTTCTTGACATCCTCGATGAAGGCCGCATGGGCTTCTTCCATTTTGTGTACATCTCCCTCGGTCAGGCCCGTCAGATCGGGCCGGGGCAAGTCTTTTGTGGGATCAAAGTGCTGAGCTGCGGCGTCGCCTCGCTTTTCCGGGGAAGGACAACTCGGTTTGTGGCGTTCAATTATGGGTCGAAGGACTTTCCAGAAGTCTTTCTGGCGTTCCGTGAGGGGAACCTCGAATGCTGTGTTTGGGACTAGGGGGACGGTGGAGGATGCGGTGATCGGAGATCGGTAAAAGTGAACGGTGCATACTAGAATCAGAGCGAGCGTCGCCAGTACGAGCGCTTTCGCTCTCCCAGGTCGCAAAGCACTCATGATTGCTAGATAGTTCGGGTAACTGCGCTTGGATCCAGGGATTCAGGGAGCGGCGCACGGCCACGCCGATCGACCTTTATTCACCAAGTCCTAAGGATGTAAAAAGGCTCATATATATTGATCGATTCACAGAGCGCGATGACCTGGGGGCAGAGTTGTGGCGTATTGTTCCAGGGAGGCGGGCGGAAAGAAGATTAGCCTGGGCTTGGCAAGTCTACGCGTAGGTAAATATTTTACATCGTACACAACTTGGACCAGCATTGTCTACATATACTGTTATATCGATATAATTGACGTCGGATCCATTGAAAGATTTAATTTCGGACATGAGGTAGATCGTGAAATACACCGATTTCATACTTTGAAAGCTGAGGCCTGTTAACTAACTAGTTACAGTTATTTGTATGTCATAAGGCCAACATCAAGGCAAAATTATGGAACAAGATCGAAGAAGAACACATGTGAGACACTGAGGGATTATATTCCAATGATATTAATGAATTTCATCGTGGAACTATTTGCCTTTTCGAAAAGGCGCCCCAATCCACTTGGCCAGTTCTCCCTAAACGACTAAAATGCGGATCAGCCTCCACCGGGGAAGATCGCATATCCACCCCCCAATCTTTCTCCGTCATATTATTCCCTCTTTTTCACTCTGCAGAACAAGAGAGTCTATTGTTTTTTACTCCGTGTTTAAATACGTCTTTCCCCGAACCCCCTGTTCGAATCCGTCGATCTTGTGCTATTCGATATTTCCGCCCCCATTACAAATCTTCACCGGAACCTTGTAATCTACGCCCGTGAACGCCTATTACCTCAATCGCACTGTCTTTCACGGTCTAACCGGATGGACTCCGTGCGGGCATTGCCCACGCCCGTCCAAGATGGCCTCCGATAATGCAAATCGTCCCTCGCGAGACCCCGCGCCTAAGGGAAAATCCCGCAAGACCGACCCGAACGCTCCGGTCCGCAAACGCCGCAAGAGAACCGTGGTCAGCGGAGCCCCCGACGACTGCTTTGCCTGCTCCAAACGAGGAGCACGGTGTGACCGGCGCCGACCTTATTGCTCCCAGTGCCTCGACCTTGGCCGCGAATGTTCCGGATACAAGACGACGTTGACATGGGGTGTTGGAGTCGCAAGTCGAGGGAAACTCCGGGGCCAGAAGCTTCCGGTGATGCAATCGGAAGGACAGTCGTCGGAAACTTCCGCGAAATTACAACCGGACGCCTCAAGCAGCAGCGGCCCGTCTTCTTCACGGGTTCCTGGCAATGCTTCAGGCCCGATGCCTCCGTCAACCGGGCCCGAGAGATCGTTTGGTACAAGCATGCCGGGTGTGAAACAGGAAGGTAGCCCACCTATGATGCCAGCTGCCTTTGACATGTCTTCAAACATGGCTTGGACAATGGACATGCCAGATCCACAAACGTGGTCGAGCACGATTGCTCCGCCTGCGATTTCAGGGCTTCCTTTGCCCAGTCGGCCGATGATTCCAAACAATACGAGCCAAGATATCGCCCCGGAGACGCCATTGCTATATGCCCCCATTCAAAGCCCGATGGCTAATTCTGGCTCTCTGGTTTGGCCGACTGCAGCTCCATCCTCATCCCAGGCTGCTACTCCCCCAGCGTCACAAGACACGGATGAGGAGGATGTCAAATACGATAATAATTATCATGTGCTTTGGAACGCCGCCCATTCTCCATCACTTTCTCAGCTCCTCTTAGCACGATCTGTTGGACGGACCCCGCGTATTCGTTATCTCATCAGTTACTACGCCGAAGTTATTACCCCCATGATTGTTGCCTTCGATACCCCGACAAATCCGTTCCGAACTCACATTATACGCTTGGCTATGGAGAGCGAGGCTCTGCAGGAGGCGATTGCGACGTTGGCTACGAGCAACTTGCGCCAGAGGCGAGAGCACAATCACCTCTCCACGGAACGAACTCTGCCGGCACGTATGTCATCAATGGCTCACCGCGCCCTCACCGATGAAGATTTCCAAGATAGATATGGCATCTCAATGGTCGAAGGCTATATGAGAGAAGAAAATCACCATCGAGGAATGGCCGTCAAGGCTTTAAATGCGGATTTGGCCGACCCTCATCGTAGATTGTCAGACTCCGTACTGGCGACTTTGTTAATGCTCTGCCTTTTCCACGGCTGCGATACTGGCGTTGCCGGATTCCGTGCACAATTTGCTGGAGTAACAAGACTACTTGCGATCCGAATGCGCCATTCCCGTGTCATACCAGATGTCCTCAAATGGTTCATCCGCATGTTCTCGTGGTTTGATACATTGACAGCAACCACAAACGACCGTGATGTCCAACTCCGCGGAACATGTTTGGAGATCAGCTCCAAAACCGATGGAGAATGGGGTCTGGAGAACCTGGCCGGCTGTGATGGTCGTCTGTTCAAGCTAATTTCTCAGCTGGGACGTTTGAATCTTCTCAGTCAGGATCAGGAGCCCAACCTATCTCGCCCAAAGGATGCTGGTATCCCCACTACATCCCTCCCTCCTAATATGCTGTTCCCGGGATGGGAAACAGTCGTGCCCAATCCAGGAATGGGCTCCGTACCGGAATACGGATTTTCTCTTCCCACGCCACCGCAAAGCAGCGACTCATCCCGCCGTCCTGCCTCTCCAGAATTCTGGACAGAGTGGTATTCGCTCAGGCAGCGACTCGAATCCTGGCGATTCGACCCACCTGCTCAGGCCCCTCAGGCCTCTTTCCCCTCTCCGCCCTTGTCTGCGTCTACAATGACCTGGAACGCCACTACCTATGTGACGCCACAGACTTCCTCATCAGCATACCAAGTGGCACCCGAGAATCTTCAGGACGTCTACCAGATCTCGGAGTGCTTCCGTCATGCTGCCCTTCTCTACTGCGAACGTCTAGCCGAGCCGACCCTTCCATCGTCTCATGGCCGTATCCAGCACCTTGTCCAGCTTGCCATGCACTGTATCATTACCGTGCAATCCGACGTATATCTTCTCTGGCCACTGTTCATTGTCGGCTCAGAATGTGTCCAGGACGATCACCGCTCGATAATCCGCGATCGCTGCAAGGATATCTCCAAGGACTCTGGCTTTATCAACAACCTTTCCTGCCTAGAGCTTCTGGAACAGATCTGGGCTGAGCATTCTGATGAATCTTCATTCCCAATTTATCCTAGCGGGTTCGGTCCCCCGCCTCCGCTGGCTGGTGGCAGGGCACCAGCTTCATCGCAGGCCTTCCGGTGGTCCCGTGTTATGCAGGCCAAGCGGGGTGACGGCGAATACATGGTTGCATAGATGGTTTTCCTTTTTATCTCTTTTTTAATCTTTGCCCGAGCTATATGCTTGCGGTTTCCAGCTTTACAGCATTCTGGTGGGACGGACTCATTGGATTTTTCTTTGTTCGAGGATCAGCGACTCGCGTGTTGTGTTTTTGACAAACATGATAGATACCATTCATTCTATATGCAGCAATATTGCCTGCAGCCAACACTATCCACATATGTACATTGTACATACTGGCTCTTCTTGTCCGAGTTTGCTAGGACCTTCAATAGCATTTCATGCATGCCAGTCTATATACCTAGACAGACAGGATAACCTTTTAAACATAGGCTATATCATAATCTTATCCATGGAATGGACTCATGGGTCAACGCGTTCACCGACCGCGCATTATTGGCAAGCAATTCCCAATCATCTGCTCCGCCTGAACAGAAGTCCTTCGTAATAGGTCGTACGGAAAAAGTCCATGCTCTACACCAACAAGGCCCAAAGGCCAAATAGGGGCTGGCCCAAGCCACTCGGAGATAACGACCTCGGGAGAGAACCAAGCCGAGTCATGCCCAGCTATTATGCGCAAAAGGACCGCCCTTCCTATCACACATCCCACGGCGCAACGACAAAAGTACTAACACCTGGCCTAAACACAGCTAGACCTATAGACGCTTACGGAGCACGTTGTAGGGCACAGGGCAAGGGCAGCTATGCAAACCCTATATGATCAGCACGCACAATGAAAACCTGAACAGGTCAATACACAAGCCCAATATCAATATACACGTACTATTACCCTCGAGGATCTCCCCGACCGCTAGTATTCCAACCGGGCCTAGAAGACCAATAACAAACACTAAAATGGGCCCAAGGTTTTGTTTTGATTCTCCTGCGGCAAAGCCGACGTCTGCTCGTGCAAGGGGTGGCAGATAGATAGGATTCAACTGTAAACCATACTATTCATGTGATATGGACCTTGTCTAGAGCGTGCGTGCATGCGTGCATGCGTGCATGTTTAATTAGATGGCTAGGGGGCGAGGAGGTGCTTGCAAGTGTAGGTGAAGGCTGTTATCATTACCACTCCCTGTGCTTCTGGACTTGGCGGGCTTGATATCAAAAGCAAATTTACCAATCAATCCAGATTGAAATCCGGAGTCGATCAGTATTCGGTAATCCACACGGAGTATGGAGTACCCACACGGCATCTAGGCATCCAACCCCTATATCCAAAACCTGATTGTCTCGCAATGATGTTGAGCCGTTAGACCGCAAGCTCTGAGCATATGAATATGCATGATATACTAGGTGTAGGCTATACTAAGCTTACCTCCTGTGCGAGTCGCACGAGAAGCACGGGGTATAAATTAAACAGAGCCAATTGTTTCGCTCAGGGGACGGTGTACAAAGATTTGTGTGTGTGGCCGGCCCCGTGCGCAGTTCAAGGCCATGCTCCTCCAGCCGAGGGAATATTATGCGCCCAGCCCGTTGGCCCCCTGCAGCCTTGTTAGCGGGCTCGTTGTGGGTTTTGGGCTTTAAGCCTTGTTCCAGAAATTCCATGACTTTTAGGCGAGTTGGCGTTACTCACTAAACAAATGACGCATTATAGGTATCAACTTATTTCTTTTATTTTTGTTTGTCCCTGGCTGAAATCAGCTTGGTTGGGGTGGCGAAGGAAGCGAAAGTAGGGGGCGTTGTCGAGTAAGATCTGTTAGACACCGGATTATCTATGGTGGGCAGATAGATATGTCAACGTGTATTTTGTTTTCTGCTGCCTGCATGTGAGATCCATCTTGCAGATACAATCCAAAAAAAATACGTTGGGTGATTTAATTAATTCTTTTTTGAAAAATAAATAGAAATAAGCCATGTGCAACCCTAGATGATCGGCAGTGCAGGACGGGTTTTTGCCTTCTGTTTGGCTGGTTGGCTAAGACAAGGGGGAGATTCTCGAAGGGTTGACTCATTTAAGAAAAAACAAAACTCTCGAATCAGGGGTGAACCTGGGATTCTTTTGTGTGGGCAGCAAGGACGTGCTGGAAATTCCGTCTTTCATTCCTTGACTCGGTGCGTGAGCGTAAAACTATGTCGGTATTTGTGGTATTTGTGGCGGCGCGAAGTTGCGGTGGTCCTGTTTTTTACGTTGAACATACAGAGACATGTGCCCTGTTCTAGAGAATAGTTGTAGATGTTGTTGTAATATTAGTGCATAGTCTATATAGCACTGTCGGCCATGACGCACATTGCGCATCTGATAGCGTTGGTTGTCAGATCAGTCCCGAAAAGGCAGACTAGGGCTTGAAGTTGAATGCGATCGCAACGATAGCGAGTCGCCTATTGTTGATCGCCCCACACTGAAACAATGAACCCTGGACAGCCAATATGAAAAATGGATATATAGCAGTTCGGTGATTCCGAAGTGACTCCATTTTGCTCATGGTTGGAGGACACACTGCCCCCCATTATGCGGGTTCGATCCTAACGCGTTGTACACAGCCGCTGCGCATGCCTCGATTTCATACTTGATAATAACTATTTTTACTACTAGGCGGAAGTCTTTTCAGCCCACTAAAAGATATTGATGGTCAGACCCAAGGAGCAAGTTGCGGTCTGCGAATTCTCTATATTTTTGCCCAAAATGGCGGTTGCTGCCCAGCGACACAGCGGTAAAGCCTATGCATGGCCCGTGATGTCGCCCAAGATGGCAGTGCGAAGTGGATGTGTGTGTAAAAGAGATACTGATGGGGCTCGCTAGTCGTTTTCTCTTGCCATGGCAACGTGTTCGTATACTTTGTATGTTACAGATACCTAGGTAGTAATAATGTCCGATTGTCTGGGGGTTTAGTGGAGTCTGAACCACTGGACGAGACGGGATGGGCCGTCGTGAAATCTGGGATGCCGTTGGTCCAACCATGGAACCGGCTTTAGTTTGCTTGATCGAGCACTGCATACATCGAGCGCTGCCTCTAGTAAGTAAGTACTTGCATCGGTAATCACTACTAGTAGAGGGTGTTGTCTTATATGATCGATATAAAGGACCATTTTGTCGTATACAGTATTGTCCGTGTTGCTGCAACTAATAATGATGGCGTTCGTGCAGATAAACTGTACCAGGTATGGAAAATGTAGCCTAGTTCTGGAAGTCGAGCACATGGCTTTGCGCTCATCCAACCCAACCATGACACGCCAACTGACGGGGGGGGGGGGGGGGGGCACAAA